CTTGCTATCTCATTTTTTTTCATCCATGGCTTGAATGGGTTTCACTTTCCAGGAAGTTGATCCATGCTATCTCATTTCCCACCCATGCCTCCTAGACTGTCTCATTTTCCATCCATGTTATCTAGTGGAATAGACAGTTTTGCTTTCAGGAGTATTTTACCTACAGAAATGAGTATGGGCTGATAGGTCACTGACAGGGGAAAAGGGTTTTCAATGAAGTTGACGTTCTCCAGGAAATTATTCATTTTCTGCGAGCACAATGTAAAACTTTAACTTTTCCAATATAATTTATCCAATATGAAGGTTTCGCTGTTTCCCTTTCAGAAGCTATGATGAGTTCCCATTTTAAAGTGTCTCACAGGGCTCATAAACTGGCTCATAAATGTAAACCTGCAAAGGCATTACTCTGCATCCTTCAAGCCTGAAAAATGCCTTAACATTTCCTAATGTCATTATTTTCCTTTATTCCATCTTCTCTCCTCCCCTTATTGCTCTCTGATGATGTCTTTCTTTTTGCTGTGTCGTTTTGCTTTAGTTTTCTTGTGTCTTTACAGACCAGAAAGTATAACAATCAGTTTTCTGTGCCTTCTTCAGTTCTTATTCCTGTGTCTCAGTAGCACATACGCATTCCCTTTCATTGTGCTTTCCATCACCCCCTGTCCTTCCTTCGGGCCAACTCAACAGCTTCAAGTGACTTTTAGGAGAGGAAGAATGTTGTTCATTCCCAGCATCTTATTTCTGTAATAATTCAAAACTGGTATGCTCAGACATTTTGGAAAGAACTATGGCTTAATTTCTCATAATGAAAATGCCTCTTTTCAATCTACATCAATAGTTCCCTGAGGTGAACAATTATTTTAAAGTCTAGTTGATTGGATAATGTATTTAAAATGAGTATTGCGTGAGAAGAATCAGGGTTTGTCTGGAACCACATTGCCCCACTATTGGGGGCCTAGGTGTGTTCTGGAAAGGGATTGTAACATTTTCTACTTGTCAAAGCTCTAGTGCAGAGTAGAAGAGAAGCATGATAAAGGAAGGTCTGGAGAAACCCAAGAGATACAGCTCCAGGTGGCCTGCAGTGAATTTTTTCCAGAATCTATTATTTCGCATTTGTGTATCCCAAGTATTCTGCTTCTTACTTAGTAATGTTTCCATGTAGCCGGGTGGTGGTGGTGCATGTCTTTAATCCCAGCACTCGGGAGGCAGAGGCAGGCAGATCTCTGTGAGTTCGAGACCAGCCTGGTCTACAAGAGCTAGTTCCAGGACAGGCTCCAAAACGACAGAGAAACCCTGTCTTGAAAAAGCAAAAAAAAAAAAGTTTCCATATGTATTATCAGCCAAAAACTCTCCCAAGTTCCCAATAGCTTTGGTGAGGTGATCGTCCTCTACATGTACCTCTTAGCCCTTCCAGAGCCTTGCCAAGCACCTCTGGAAGGGAGAGTGCCCAGTGTGATGGACTCAGTGCTGGAATTGAAAGTTGGGCATCCATTATCGCTTGCTTACTGTCTTACATTTTATTGCTGCTTCCATTACTGAGCAGAAATGACTATGAAAGTCAGAGTATGGTAGATGGTAGCAATGGGTCCCTCGTGGGTAGAATGGCCGTCTGAGTAGAGTGAGCTGCCATGCGTGGAGGTGTTCAAACAGAGGCAGAGGGAAAAGACACCAAGAACTCAAGCTTCAGCTGTCGGGTAAGTCTGGGCAAACGATCTGTCAAGGACTCTGGCTCCTATTATGGTAGACTAAAAGGGAAGAACCATCATACTGGGTATTCACTTATTAAATATATCTTTTATATCAAGATGTGACGGGAGGCAGAGGCAGGTGGATCTCTGTTCGAGGCCAGCCTGGTCTACAAGAGCTAGTTCCAGGACAGGAACCAAAAAGCTATGGAGAAACCCTGTCTCGAAAATCAAAAAAAAAAAAAAAGATGTGAAGATATTAAAATCTAGAAGCTATATCAGAATAAGGAAATTAAATCAGCAGAATTATTGTGGGTGTGGTGCAAATTAGAGGTAATGTTGAGTGAGATGTGCAACTGAAATCTTTGGAAGAAACCAAGGCATCACTGAAGTAACTTGGGTTTTTAAAGAACAATACTAATTGTCGTGACTAAACTATATACAGGAGCTGCAATTATATTTTGGCAGTACAGCCACTGCTGGCAATGTGTGAGGCCCTGGAATGATCCTCAGTAGAAGTAACACACACACACACACACACACACACACCCTTTGACTAAAAACATACTTGTCTGGCTGAAGGCTTTACTCCAGCCCCTGGCATCCATATGTTCAAAAAGTCTGGAATGTTTGTTAGGATGGAAATTCTATCCCTAGCCCCCTTCCCTGGAGCTTCCTCAGTACAGACTCCGCCCCTAAAAAAGCTCACCAAACGATGGCCCCTCCCACAGATGCGCAGGACCACTCCCACAGGGTATTTAAACTGCCCTCAGAGAACAAACGTGGTCTTCTGGTCTTCCTTTCTTTTCTCCTGCCTGAGGGGCTGGAAAGCCATCAGGAGCGTTTGTATTCATTAAACCTGGGCTTTTTCTAATTCTGCCTTATTTGGTCTGATTCGGACGGATTATTGCTTCAGTAGAGACGCTTATTGGGGTGAAGCAACTTTTCAGTACTGTCTGTCTTCTAGCTGGATAGCAGTGTGGTATTTGGTTGGGGGAGGGCAATGAGGAGGTGATTCAGGAAAGGACAGGGTCTGTAACTCTTATGGAGGAAGATGGGCTGAGAATCGTTGGTTAGCATTGATCTGCTGTTCTGGTTTCTGTTCAATTGTATTCCATATAATTGTCACTTTGGGCTCATGAAAAAGAGAACACATGGATCCGTCTTCAGACACGCTTCTATTTATTTATTATGATTTAAACCCCCCTGCTATTCTGGCTACTGTCTAGTCTAGCATTCTGTGGGACTTTGTTCCTTTTCTGTTTAATGCTTAAAAAGATAAGTTTTGGTTTGAGGGAGGTGTAAGTACTTTTTTTTTTTTAAATGCTGGTATGCCTGCTACCTGGCTACTAGAGGATAGCACAAGGGCCTGCAGAATGGACATTACCTGAAACTGATGAGAAATGAAGACTCTCGGGATCTACAGTAGCCTAGTGACTCACTGCCTGCAGTTTAACGCGATCCCCATGGGACTCACGGGCACATTAGCATCCATGAGGCACCAATCTACTAATTTCTTTCCCCAGGGTGTCAGTGATTTTTGGAATGAGTTTAATTGGGTCATACTTCTCTCTCTCTCTCTCTCTCTCTCTCTCTCTCTCTCTTTTTCTCTCCCTCCTCCCCTCTCTTTATTAAACGGGGTCTCACTGTGTAGCTCTGGCTGTCCTGGAATCGCGAGATCTGCTTGCCTCCCAAGTGCTGGGATTAGAAACACACACCACCACACCAGACCCCCTTACTTTTTCTTAAACTCAACTCACAATCCATATTTCAGAGAGTTTACACAGCAAACCTTCCAGCTACCTTTGTCCTTATAGACAGATAAGACGAGAAATTGGGTGATGTATCCAAGGTCACACAGTGAGTAAATGGTGAAGGTACCGAGGTGGCACCGTGGTGCTGAAACAAGAGAGGTCAAGAATCTTTGGTCCCGGGGCGTGAGTGTAACTTTGGGGTATGAGAGGTTTCCATCCCTCCGTGCCTATCATTTATCCTGCCCACCAGCTGTCTTGAGGCAGTCACCATCTGTTTCAGCCTGTATGGCACCAGGCGCTAAGAGCGGTTCTTGTTGTATGGTGTTGAAGCTGCCCATCTGCCTTTACAAACGCTGTAGTTCAAAAGCTGTGAAACCGTTTGTATTTTCCACCTGCTATGGCTTTGAGCAAACCCAGCGCCAGCCTGGCTATTCGAACACTTACCTTTGCCAAAGCAGAGTAGAGCTCATGGCTCCAACCAAATTGTTAATACGGTGTGTTCAGAATACCTAGACTGTTTCCAGAGAAAGGTAAAGAATGCCCAAAGATCTCCAGAGACTGCTCTGACGGCCTTTGCGCTTGGGCAACCTCACTCAACGGCAGACATGGAGGCTAAAAGCCAAGGCAAGTGGATCCTTCCGTGGTTTGACTCTGGCATCAGAACCCACACGCACCTGCTGCAAGCTGGTGACATCTAATATGGGTTGCCCACATCGCACAGATATTTTCTAGTGAGTAATGGATTAGGAACCTGCACAGAACAGCCGGTACGTCCTGGTATCTTTAGGGTGGAGCCAGGTGTGAAGAAAGGGAGTAGCTACCAACTGAGCTAGTTCTGGGCAAGCGTTTGGGTTTGTAATCCATCTCAGGGATATGTTGGTTCTGCGGAAGTTTGAGTTTGTACAAGACCTGTCTAATCTGGACTTTTCCTTTGCCCTGGCTTTTGCCGTTTTCTCCGGAGGCTGTGACCTTGAGAACCTGCAATTACGGGAGTTGACCGAGCTGTCACCCGGGAGCAGGGCTCATTAGAGGCGCCCTCCTCACGCACTCTGCAGTCATCCTGGTTTCCTCCTTTGGCTCTCTTGCTGACATTTGGAGAGGCCTGGGACAGCCAGAGAAGTCGCAAACACCAAAGATGGGTTAACTTGGCGGTCCCTGCCTTCTGTTCAGAGAACTCAGACTCCGAGAACTCAGATTTAGTTAGCCTCTGGAGTAAACTCCAGTGCGACGTGGAGAAAGGGGCAAACTCATCTTAAATGTCAGCCCGGCATCCCTGGGGGTGAGTGACAGCAGGTAATTAGAAGCAATTAGTCGTGCCCCTGTCGGGAAACCGGGCAATTACCTTTCTCTCTGGCTTCCTCTTCCGTCCTTCCTGTTCGGATGAAAGCGGTAGAAGCGCCCTGCTCCCTCAGCGGCAGAACGCCGAGCTGGCTCGGGGACCAAGGATGAGCTGAGCCGGCTTGGGTCTCCTCCTCCCGCCAGCGGCGCAGCGGTGCATTGTGGAGGCAGCGCGCGCCCAGCGCTGAGCCACAGCCCGGGACCGCGCGCGGGGAGCTGTCCGAGGTGCTGACCGTCCCGCCCGCCCGCGGCCCGCGCGCCCGCCTGCTCCGGTTCGCGCGTGGATCCTTGTCCCCGGGCGGCTCCCGCCCTCTGGCTGGCCCACTTGTCTGAACCCAGCGAAGTGGCTGAGGGAAGTCATGGTATTCGCTCCAGGTACTCTTACACCTTCTTTTCCCGCAGACGTCTAGGCGGGGAGCGGGGCGGGAGGCGAGCGCCCAGGGAAAGGAAAGGCCTTTAAGACGGCACGACGCGCATCGGAGTTGCGGTGGCCAGGGGTGGAAGAGCACCTAGTCGCCCCTCTCCCTACCCGCCCCAACTATTCCCCGGCAATCCCTAGCCTCTCCTCCTCACCATCCCACCTGAATCCCCGCACCCCAGTGAGCACCCAGCACCTTGGCAAGTGACCCCTCTCGCCAGAAGCACCGGACCTGCCCCGCGGACGTGCGGGCGGGGAGTTGGACAAAGGGTACTCGGCTTCGGGCTCCTGCAGTGGGAGTCTCTGCCGCTGCTGCTCCACCCCAGCCTCAGAGGTGGCAAAGTGACCCGCTTCCTCCGGGCCTCCCGAGAAAGAGGTCGGAGCCAGGGCAAGCAGGGCGAGCGGCCGAGGAGCGCTAGCTCTCAGGGTTTCGATCTGAAACTCTGTCCGGACTGCAGCAGGAGGCGGCGGCTACTGCGGCGCCGCGGGCTCTTGCAGTGCCTTTTGGGGGGCAGGTGGCGAAGGACCTTGGTCCTCTTGCTGCTGTAAAGGCTACAACTTGACCAGGAGTCAGAGTTATCTGAGGTTGATGTGTGTGCGTGGAGCAGGAGAGGCGAGGGGCAGAATGAGGGAATCCAAGGGAAAGCTGAAACGTGGACCATAGTCAGAGTTGACATTTTTAGACCTAAAGTTCGTCTGTCTGTCTGCCTGTGTTTTTATTTTTATCTTTCCCCTTTCTAACTTTTCCTCTCCTTTCCCTCTCCCCTGGCCCTCTTCTCCCCTTCTTTTTTATTTATTTTATTTTTAAGGCTGTACTTTTATTTAAGGGCAGTGGACAACAGGCAGCCGGAAACACACAGGGGTTGACTCTCTATAGATTCGTTAGGTATCTTTAATTTGAGAAACAGGTTTGAATATGTCCTGGCCAGGGAACCGGACACTGGAAAAGAAAAATAAAGCATTTCTAAAAGGAAGGAATTTGATTTGGCTTTAAAAAATGATCGCTGAAATAAAACAAGAGGAAGTTGTCCATCTGTCGACGACCCTCCACCGCATGTCCTCAGGAGGCTAGCTCAGATGGCAGGATCCAGTCTATCTTAGCTCCAAGTTACCACAGGTAGTGTAGGAGAGTAGCAGCTCTCAACCTGTGGGTCGTGACCCTCCTTGGGGGAGCTCACAGGACCCTGTCACAAGGGTCACATATTAGATATCCTGCATATCAGTTATTTACATTACAATTCATAACTGTAGCAAAATTACAGCTATGAAGTAACGAGAATAATTTTATGGTCGAGGTCACCACAACATGAGGAGCTGTTAAAAGGGTCTCAGCATTAGGAAGGTTGAGAACCCCCTGCTTTAGAGGAATGCCCAAGAGTCCTTCTCCTTCCCAAAGCAGGTAACTCAAGGGGAGTGCAGTGGAGGCTGGGTATGTGAGGGACAGACAGGCAGTCCAGGGTCAGTGAATTGGGAAGAAGCTTGGGTTTCCATTTCCAACCTCAGAAAACACTTAGCTTCCTTGCTGGCATCTCATTGTGACTTTAGGCACCGTGCAAAGTGAGTACACCTAGCTTTACCACTTCCGTGGAGGTTGATTCCAGACAGTCTGGCCAGGCTGAGCTGAAGCTGTCTGCCTTCAGCCTCTGCCTGTTTCACCAAGTCTTTGGAGTCTTTCCTCCTGAGGCGTCACCCCCCCCCTCCCCCAGCTACAGAGGTGGAGGCAGAGCTGTGTCTGGTGCTATGGCTACGGATAGGATAGGATGCTAGCTAGACATTTTCTCTACAAATGAAGGGGTGGGGGCAGGGTAATGCATGACAGACCCTTTCTGGAGGGGCAGTCTGGGTTCAAGCAACTCACGATTTGAGCAGGAGCTGGCCTTCCCGTTTAACTTTCAAGTTTGTAGTTTCTGTTGATTGCTGTGGAGGAAATAGTGATGATTCATATCTGCCCAAAAAAATTCAGAAACTGGCCTGAATAGGACAGGTGCAGAAACGTGGAAAACGTTCCTCATGTCTCCCCCTTGCCCCAATTTTGAGGTTTTCTTGAAAAGTACAAGCATTCGGGAGCTAAGAATATCTTATCGCCATTGAGCTTCCTGCCCATGCGCTTCCGAACCCTGTGGTTCCATCATTCTGGAAGGAAAACAGTAGAGTGATTGATTTCTGAACGCCATTAAAACTTCACTGTTGGTTTGTTATTCTTCCAAATCACGGTAGACTGGGACTCTACACATTTTTTTTTTCTCTCTGAGTTAAGGAGAATGTTTCCCATCACACTCCTCCAAGCTAACCTAATACGCCAAGGAGACTCATTAACTATGATTACTCAAAAATTAGCAACCAGCCAATCCTAAAATTGGTCTAGTGTGTATTGTGTTCTTACTGGATTTTCACAGAAGTAAACAGGCGCCCTGGGTTCTAGCTCTGGCCTTGTTTCTGCAGGCTTGACTCTCTCTCTGCCTACCTCACACGCAAAGGGGAAAAGCAAAGCCACTTTCAGGCTAGCAATGCACCAGGATGGAGCTCTGTGTGACCGTAGTTAGAAGTTGCTCTTGCCATTCGCTGTGAACCACGTGTGCATTTTAATGTCTTGGTATCTATGCATCGGAAGAAACAAGGTTTCGGTTGGGCAAGAGCCTTGAGTAGTTTTCCTCAGTTTGACTAGAACAGAAAAATAAATTCCACATATTTCCTTTCTCTTACATGATTAATAAACATTGTAACTTAGGAGGATTTAATTAAGTTGTATTTCTCGTGCCTCGTATGGCAGGTACACAAAGCCAGTGAGTGAATGAGCAGTAAGGCATATCAATTTCTCTGCTGGGACTGACAGAACACCCTCAAACAGAGGTTGAGCCATGGGTCACATGGGTAAAAGAAGCCTTGTGTTTCTTTCCCCATTCATTCTGTTACCGTCTCTGAAGTAACAGAGAACTGAAGTTAAAAATATTTCCATAGCAGTGCGAGAAACTTTTCAAGTGTGAATGACCACGCCAGAAGGGAGACATCACTGATGCACCAATATGGAAAGGGACTTTGTTTTCCATTTGTGATGCTAAACTGACCCACGTCACCTGTCTGTGGGCATAGCAATAGCTACTGTTTAGGAAGTGGGAAAGTACTGTATGATTTCTGGACTTCCACGCAGTGTCTCAGGTGTTTGGAGTAGGGGTATCTTGTAGGAGGATTTTTCTGTCCCACCTTTCAGCTCCCAAATAACCACACAGAGACTTCTTAATTATAAAAGCTTGGCCAATAGCTGACATTTTTTTAATTAAATTTTAAATTTTATTTTACATACCAACCAACCAGGCTTGTTTTTAACTAGCTCATATAACTCATATCTTTTCATCTATGTTCTTTCACATGGTTCAGTTACCTTTACTTTGTAAAGGCTGTGCTGCTTCCTCTCCACCCGGTTGGTGACTATGCCCTTTTTCTTCCAAGAGTTCTCTCTGTATGACTCTCCTGCCTAAACCTCCCTGTCTAGCGAATGGCCATTTCTCTTTTTTATTAAGCCAATCAGAAGGCACCTTGGCAAAGACACATCTTCACAGTGTACAAAAGATTATCCCATAGCAGGTATCATAGTGTTCTTGTCTATTTATAGAAAAAGGCAAAGTGGAAGAAGAAAGAGAGACCACTGGCCAATTGTGTTAAAGTTGGCAAAAGGGCAGTAGAGTGTATTTCTTGGCTTTGTTCCAGCATGGAAAAAGAAGGTACACTCACAAATTCAAGTCTCCTCACTACCATGTTGTTTTGACATACATACACACACACACACACACACACACACACACACACACACACACACCACATCTATATCCCCAAATCAGAGTAATCTAATGAGAAGTAGAAATGAGGATGGGAGTGAGCAGAGGAGTTCCCTTCGTCTCTGGGCGACGCTGCTTCTGCCAGCGAGTACCATACACTTCAGGAATTAACTCACCTCTCTTGTGGATGGGCTTCATATAGGCTGCACTTATTTGGATCTGATTCAAGTTGGATCCTGTGCTAACAAAAAATATCTTTTCTCTTGCACACAAATGATGTAAGGTATAATAATGAAGATTTCATAAGGACATAAAATAGTGTAATTGCAAGCATTTAGTTAGGCAGACCCTGACATTAAGCTGTGTTTGGAGAACATTTAACAAGCACAGTATTTCTACAGCCAGCGGCCAAGTATATTTAAAAAAATATTTATTACAAGGTAGCTATAGCCTTTATACACGCACATAAATCTATCAATTTAAATAAAGTGATGAATAAATTATATAGCACACTGTCTTAACTGTCAGGTTTATAATCTGCCAGCCTTATGAATTCTTTTCTGTTACTATAGTCTTTTATTTTTTAAATTTAACTTTATTTTATGTGCATTGGTGTGAAGGTGTCAGATCCCCTGGAACTGGATCTCCAGACAGTTGTGAGCTGCCATGTGGGTGCTGGGAATTGAACCCGGGTCCTCTGGAAGAGCAGTCAGTGCTCTTAACCGCTGAGCCATCTCTCCAGCCCCTACTATAGTCTTTTAGAAACATATTCGTTACTTTAAAATTAATATACACTACATTTGATTTTTTGCATATGGTTGAATGAGTTCAAAAACATGCATAGACTCACGTAATTGCCACAGAATACCTTCAACACACTAAAATTTTATTCTCTTGTTTCCCTTTTCAGTCAGCGCCGTCCCCGTTTTTCCCCGAGTTTATCACAGATGTGTTTTCTATCCCTCAGCATTTGCATTGTTCAGAATGTCCTATAATTGGAATCACATTGATTCCAATTAGCCATTGATGCCACACCAACAGAAACTACAGACCATATGGCTTATAAAAGATGGAAGTTCATTCCCTACAAATTTAGAGGCTGGGGAGTCTAAGACCAAAGTATGGCAGATTGGGGTCGGCGGATCTCCTGTGGACAGTCACCTTCTTACTGTGACCTCACAAGG